GTGGGCCCTGCTTGCAGGATGTCAGTTGCCTGCCTCTGCCCCCAGCTTCTCCCCCCGCCTGCCCTGCCCCCCAGTCCATGAGGCACGCCCCCTGGCTTGTGGGTGGGGAGTAGCAGCAGGACTGAGCTGGCAGGTAAGGCGGTTTTCCGGTTCAGCTGCCCTCAGGGCCCTGCCTGCGAGCACTGCCGGGAGGTCCGGGTCGCGCGGCCTTGGGGGAGCCTTCTTCCCAGTGTTCCTCTCGGGCAGTGACTGTTGTGGATTTTTGTAAATGAGTGAGTGAAACAGGAAACTGTTACAGCTTTCATAGCACTTTGAGCAAAGTGCTGGGTGTCATCTTTGATAATGGCATCTGTGCAGACTCTTCTTGGTCCTGTGTGTTTAGTCTGAAAATACCCAAACCCCTCCCTGTGTAAGCACATGTGAGGTTTTAACTGGGGATGAGGGCACCAGGACGAACAGTATGACTTCCAGATGTTAGCTTCAAAGGCTGAAGGGTCAGGTCGGAAGTTTGGTTCCCACAAAAGGAGCATCTTTAGAAACCTGTACTTCAGGTCTTTGTGAATCTTAGAGAAACGAGCCTCAGTTCTGTTTTGTGCTGAGAATGTGTTTTCAGGGCCGTTGGGTGTTGGGCGTCTTCAGGTTGATGTGGCTGTGGCTCGTGGCTGCCGCAGGCCCCAGGTCCACATCCGGAGGGCTGAGTCCAGAGGTGTGGTTTCCGTTAAGATGCCTGTCCTCCCACAAAATGCTCCCAGGCTTCTCTGTTTAGGGCAAGTGACCTGAATGCTGACTTCTGTATTTCTCATGCCATGTGAGGGAGAAACCCTTTCTGGACAGAGGGGGTTAGATAGTCCCTAAATTATGTTTTCTTGCCTTATGCCATAATCCTGTGTCTGGGATAGTGACAGACTTAGGGAAGCTTCTGGTATCCCCCATCTCTCACTGTCCACAGCCCCAGGCTTCGACAGCCTGGGTGAGCCCAGGGTAGGTCAGCCACTGTGGCCATCTAGGCAGGCAGCCTCTTCTCTCCTGATGCTGCCTGCTTAGTTGAAGAAGGCTTTTGCAGACTGAGGGCGTAGCTGCTAGAGACTTTCCAGCTCAGCTCGCAGGGAGGAGCTGACGGAGATCACCTGCTGTGGTCGGCCTCCTGTCCCTCTTCCTACATGCAGGAGGGCCTGTCAGAAGCCAGGGAGTGGCCGGCGGAGAGGGGCGTGCATGGGAAGAGGGTAGGCCATGGGACAAAGTGCTCATAGAGCCTTCTTCAGCCTCCCTTTTTAATCAAGGGCTCATCCCAAATTGCTCCTCAGTGCCAGCAAACAAATGCCCACACAAGTTCTTGAGTGTTTTGTGCCGATTTATTGAAGACAACTCTGGCTGCCTTATAGGAGCTCTGCAGCTGCCTCCCAGGCCAGAATGTCATGGAAAACCAGTAATCCGGGGCTCTATGGAGTAGGGCAGCCAGTCATTTGATGTGGCAAAAGGGCTGAGGTTAAACCACATTTAGCAGGCAGATCATATTTTCAAAAACTTTTGCTTTGGGTGTTTTCCTTCTCTGTTGGGGATCAGCATCCTTTTAATCATACTCTCCACCCCCTCCTCATCCCTCTGAAGTACTGTTATGTGGTATGTAGCTATTGTACGCAAAAGTATATTGAAATTATTTTTCAAACTACATGATGCTGAACTGTGGGTCCATACGGAGAGTGTGGCTATGGATTGTATGCAAATGAGCGAGTGAATTCAATTTTGATCTATAACTTCTTTAAATCAGGGAAAAAAGAATTGCATGGTACCCCGGGTAATGATACCAAACCCATATTGCAGCTCAGCTGATCAATTCATTGTTCTCTGTGCTTTCATCCCTTCGGACACTGCCTTGGTTGACCCTCTCTGGAAAGGCCCCAATTGGTTGCTAATGAACGGTGTGGAGGATCGCCTGGTCCAGACAGGGGCTGTAAATCCCAGACAGGCGCTTTAAAATGGTGTTCATCACTGAAATTAAGAACAATCATCTTCCCCAGCAGCCTGAACTCATTTCTCTATATGCGGCTTGGTCTAAAGAATCCAATCAGGGAGTAATTGAAAGTTCATGACACTTGCAGAGGTTTCTGGAAACAGATCTGTGGGTACCAAGAAAAAAGGACATAGATTCATCCCACCCACCGGTCATTCCCGCCCTCCCCTGTATCCAGAGCAGCCCACTCCCCACCACTGACACCAAAATGCATTTAGCTGATTGGCTGCCCTCCGTGGATAATGCCTACTCAGCATTTGGGACAAGTTCCAGCATGTAACTTCCTTTTGGTGAGTGACCCTGACAGGAGAGGGGATTGAGCTTAATTTATGCCGGCCAGTGCAGCAACTTGGGCAGCCAGCTTTCCAGAATTTGCCCAGAGTTTTCCCTAGGGAATGACAATGCCGTATATTCTAATTGGTACCCGTGCCGCTCCCAAGTACGGCTGCCGTGTACTCGTTCTCACCTTTCAGAGATCAAAGCCAAGTGTCAAGTTGTGTCTAACAGAGGTGTGCAGAACTCGGATGGAGAAACGATGTGTTTCTGGCTGGCTGGAGAACCCTCGGGCGGGGAGAGAGAGAGAATCAGGCAGCTGCTGTGGTTGTCACGGCCTGTTTCCTTTTCCAAACGGAACCTGGGGTTCTCAGATCCCCCGAGGTGGCAGCTCTCTAACCAGCAGAAGGCAGGCTAAGCAAAATTGTGGGGGGGTGTAGTGTAGAGCCTCTCCCCTCCTCCCCAGTCTGCCTTTGACTAAGGAGGTGTTAGGCTGAGCCAGGGCCGAGTTAATTTCAGAGATAATCCATTTCCTGCTACTTTAATTCAGCCAGCACCATTCATCAGCAGCGGAGAAGAGCGCCTGGGACCCTCTCCTACATCATCCCAGTATCTTGAAAATAGGAAGGGGCAGCAGGGGTTCTCCCACCCCTTATTGTAGATGCTGAGGTTATAGAAATATGTCAGGACTTGGTGACAGAAATGTCTACACATACATCATGCCACCAGATTGTGGTGCCCCCCGCCAGGCCCTGACTTAGCGGCAGGTTCTTCCTCTCCCCGCACCGCCTCCCCGCCCCCGTTTTGCTCCCAAAAGACAATTGTGCTTGTTGTTAGATGGAGGATGCATATTGAGGCCATCCACACTTAGGCTGGGAAGTCCTTTAGGACAGAGACAACTGCTATCCAATATCTTCGAGTAATGAACTTATTAGTAAATATAACACATGAGCTCATTAATCTTAACTTTGTTTTTGGACCAAGTGGGAGCTTGGCTTCTCAGGAGACAAAAAAATTCATCTCTGTTCTTTTTCTTAAACCCAGTCCCAATTTAGAGTCAAACATATTGCCCTGCTCTCCCTGGGAAGCAGTTAATAATGTGTTTTTTCTCACAGCGGATGGTCCAGGCTCAGCCTGGTCACTCAGGCCCCCAGGCCATGTGCACGTGCTCTGTACACAGTAGGAGCTCAAGGCATCTGAGCAGGGCTGTATCAGCTGAGGAATGTTCTCTAGATGAAGTGAATCTTACAACTGTTGCCTGTCCTGGCCACTCTGTCTTTGCTTCAGCTAATGCTGTTCTTCTAAAATCAACTGCCTCCACCCTTCAGCTCTGATAAGAAAAGAAATTGAGGATGTAGAGATGGATGCATCACACCTTTAACAAGGGGTGGCTACCCATTTACTCTGGACAGTGAGATCTAGGTGTAAAAGAAGTCTCGAAAAGAAAGAAAGAAGTCTCTGGGAAGACATGTCGTTTGTGAGGAGAGCAATGGCCTGGAAGGGCTGCTGTGGGATGGGATGCCTGCCCACGCGCACGGCGAGAGGAGGTTTAGGAAAGGTTCGCCTACAGGTGGGTCCTGTGGACCTGGTGTAGGCCTGTGGGGCCTGTAAGTGTGGCCACATAGGACTGATGGGGTGAGCGGGGGCAAGGAGCCAGCCAGCACTGGCCGGTGTCTTCCCAGCCTGGATCTCCCCTCCCCCTCCCTGAGAGAGAGGGACAGACCTAGGGGACATCAGCTGTCTGTCCCCTGCACACACATCCACATACCCATCAGCAGTTCTAGAGATTGAGCAGAATGGGAAGGGAAAGCGCCACGTCCTTGGCAGCTCTGTTGCCTTTGTCCTCTGAGCCTCCCGCTGATGGCCTGAGGGCCTCCTCCTCCTGTTTCTTCCCCGAGAGACTTTACCTGCACCATTTCCTTGCTCTGTGGGCCTCTCCTGGGTCCTTTGTTCTGCCAGCCCCAGCAGTGTCTCCCTTGACGTCTCTGCTCCAGAAAGAGAGCAGCAGCCCTGCAGCCTCCTAACCTACCAGGTGGAGTTAGAAGCATCTAACTTAGAAGGCTCCTTTGAGATGGCTGGCGATTAGAGCACATTTCTGTTCTTTCCCCGGTTTATATGTAATACCTTTTCCGGCACTTGAAATAATCCATTTTCCTTTGAGAGCCTCCACTCACTTGTGGGCTGTGGTTTGATCACACCCACCATGCCCCTAAGCCCTCACTGTACAGGAGGTAGAATGTAATTTAAGCCACAATCATTTCTGCCCCCTCCTGCCCTGCCTCCTAGAAGTGGTGGGTGTCCTGTGGTAGGTACTCGTTTGCCCAAGCTGGGAAAGTGCTGAGCTGGCAGCTCTCTGCCCTCCCGCCTGTCTGGTGGAGAAGGAGGGGGCTCAGAACCCACTCATCTCGTAGGGAAGGGGGTGTCTTCACTGCAGCAGTCATCCTTGGGGTTCCACTTCAGGGTTCAGGCAGGAGCAGTGTTGAATGCAGAGTCAGCCTCTGCGCAGCCACCCTGGGACATTCTGAGGCCCCTGGGCTGCCTTGAGGAGCTGGGAGGTGGGAAGGTGCGGGCCCCTTCGTGGGGGGCGCTCTGATAAACTCTCTGCAGCAGCAGGCGCGCCTGCCCTCCTGTCCTCCAGACCAGAATGAGAGCTGGGCTTTGGGCGTTTGGAGGCCACCCTAACCGTGTGTCCTCTCTGCTTCTCCCACTGTTGCAGGTTATGTGTTCTGTATGTTACATCGCCTCCCCGAGCAGCATGACTGTACGTTTGACCACATGGGCCGCGGCCGAGAGGAAGCCATCATGAAAATGGTGAAACTGGACCGGAAAGTGGGGCGCTCCTGCCAGCGCATCGGGGAGGGGTGCTCCTGAAGGCCAGGCATGGCCGCCACATGACGCTGTTCTTAGTTCACTAATGTTAGCCTTATTTAGGACAAAGTCAGCCAGACACCTTGTACTGGGCACGCGTCAGACTACAGCCAGTCCGTTTCCTTTCTTTAGCCAGCCATCCTGGTACTGTAGTTTAGGGGTTGATGGTGGTTGAAATTGATTTCTGGCTGGTTACTAAGGTGCCTGCTAGCCATTGTATAAAATTAAAACATGAAGAATATTTTTTTTTGAGCATGGCTAGTGGATTTCAAACAACACATACCTGTCACTGCTGGAGTCATACTTATAAAAAGCCTTAAGCGGAAAGTGTTCCAGATGGAGACTCTGAGTTAATAGAGGAGTAGAAGCTGGTGTTAAAGTTCCCATGACGCACATGGCTTTGCCAGAAACTCTGGCTAATGTTCGGCCTTTCACCTCTTCACTTATCCTTAGTCCCAGTAGCCAGGATACCTGATGGCCACGCGTGCCTTGGCCACAGGAGGCTGTTGAGATTGGCCATGTGGCTGGGCTGGGTGGTGGCTTCGCTCTCCCACAGCGCTGGAATTGGGGGCGGGGGGGGGGGGGCAGGTTCTTAGGAAAATTTTTTACCTGACTTGCTATGAAAAAACTCTCTCATCACACGAGAAGAGAAACAATAACCTCACTTTGAAAATTAGCTCCACTCAAGACTAGTCCATGTACGAGACCTATCTTTTCTACACAGGACCCACGGTCATGGGAAGCAACCTGACCCCACTGGCTCTGGTTTGCCATTTGCCAAGTGCAGGGATCTGGCAATTGATCAAATAAGGCTAATTACAGCACAGCAGCTGCGGCTAGGATCTACAAACTGGCCTCTGCAGCTAGATTTCTATATTGGGAGTTTTTAAAAAGACATTTCATAGCCGACGGGAATCAGTAGAAGGGCTGGGGAGCAGGTGGGAAGCTGCCGCCTGCAGGCTCTGCCCCCTCCAGCGGCCGCCTGCCCGGCCCTCTCTGGGCCAAGAGGACAGTGCCACGGCCCAGCCCCTTGTGTCTGCGCAGCTCCGTAGTCCAGGGGACCACCTCTACCACATAGCAAGTCTGGGAAGGCGAGGCGGCCTGCGTCCCAGGGGCAGCGGGGGGATCTGTCTAGAACAGTGGTTTGTGGCCGTGGCCCAGCTCCGAGAAGGACCTTCGCTCTGGCAGTGGGGGTGGGAGGGCACATTTCTCAGCCTGTGCCGCTTCCTGCGGGCAGAGAGGAGTCGGTAGCCATGGTAGCTCAGGCCAGGTGGGGAGGGTGGATATGGGCCTGTTGGCCCAAGTTAGGGAATCCTCACCGATCTGGTGGGGGCGGGGAGGGGAGACAGGATTAAGATTCCCTGGAAAGCCTGAACAGGGTTGAGTGGGCCAGAGACCCCGTATGGTCCAGGCTGGTGAGAGTCGGAGGCTCCTGCAGAGGTGGTTTGGATCTGCCCACGCACAGGCTACTGGAACAGTTTAACCCAGCAAACTTTCCCTTTTATACCACGACCAACAGTTCGACTGTCTGCAGTTCACAGCCAAACACCTGCAACTACAAATGTTTTTTGGTCCAGAATGCTGAAATAGGAAATCATGCTCTTCCCAACCTCTTCCTCCCATCCCACCCCCACCAGAGTGGAATCCGCTGCAAAATCTCCAGCCTTATTCTTGCTTCAGGACCCAGACCGGTGTCTCTTGCTCTAGGGCAGCCCAGGGCAGAGGGGCCGGGTCTGCCCGCGTTTACCACTGTTGTCAAGCCACGGCCCTCTGGCCAGTGCATGGCCATCCTCAGTGAGGCGGCCCGCCCAGGCCCCCCGCCAAGCTCTGATCCCGAAGAGCCCCCCCCCACGCCCTCCCGGCCCTCCTCAGGCCCCGCCGCTGCTGCCTCGAGGCAGGGATGGGAAGCAGGCTCTCTGGGGAGCCCAGGGGCACACAGGGCTGCAGCCCATATTCACTTCCTGGTGGTAGAGCTGGGGGTGGGGGGGGGGCTTGTCCCCTGCAGTATCTGTTCTGTGAAGTTTGTTAAATGTAAGGAAAGCTTAAATTCTTGTATCTTTAAAAGAGAAGATCTTATTTAACCCTTTTGTGTTTTAGATTTACTTACACACATAGCCTAGAGCTCAGTTTTAGTTTTAACATTGTGAAAATATTAAAAGAATCTTGTAACTTTATTCTTTTTTCTCCTGCTGAAAAAAAAAATTAAACCAATCGTATGAAAGTTTGGATTTCTCTGTTTTGCCGGTTCTCCTAAGTGCTGCCTGTACAGCCAGAAAAATGGTGGACTGTCTCCCTGGCCAGGGCTTGGACGAGGTCGGGGAGCAGGTGGCTCTTGTGTGCAGAGAGCGCCTGTCCCTGCCCTGGGCTCGCAGCTGCCCCCCTTGTTTCTGTGGGAGGTCGTGCATTGGGAGGCCATGGGGCCTGGCCCTGGTGGAGGTGTGTCTGCTGGGCCAGGCCTTTGCCGGCAGCGAGGAGGTTACGTGGGGGGGGATGGGAAGAAACGGGCACCAGCCCTGAGGGCCCCTCTGTGGTGTGGGTTGGGCGTGCCTAGGTCCTGGGTCCTGGGGTCTGGGAGGGGCCGCATCTGGAGGGAAGAGCAGCATGATGGTGTAGAGGAGGCACTTCGTATGCCTTAAGGTGTTTAAAAACATCTGGGGACTCGTGTCCATCCTCACCACCTTTAAGGCAGAGTGTTGACCACACAGCCGTCACTGAAGGTGATGAAAGATCCTCGAGGAAATCAGAAGTGGGGAGAGAGCACAGGAGTCTGGTGGCCTTGGAACACGCGGTGCCTGGCAGTGCCCCCCTTGTCCCTCCTGCTCATCTGGGAGGCTTTGTTCGCGCCAGCAGGGGCTGACCGCAAGAAGAGAGGGCGGTGGAAAGAAGGCGCAGTGAGGAACAGGAAGCCTGCTGGGCTGAGTGGGGGTGGGAGGCGTACGGAGAGGGGGCACCCCCGCGGGCACCAGGGCAGCAGAGACGCCCAGGGATAGTCTGCAGCGGCCTCGGAAATTACCTCCTTTGCAGCCATTCTCAAAGCTGCCCGGAGGGCTCCAGGGAAAGAGGAGTAAGCAGAGACAAATGCCGAGGCCTGGCATCGGGAGCGTGCCAGGCAGCCGGGGGTGAGGCCTGCCCGCCGTCTGACAGAGCTGAGGGCTCCACCCTTGATCCACGCTTCCGTCCCAGGGATGGGGCAGGAGTCTGACAGAGAAAATGAAGCAAGTAAGAATACACCGTTTATTAATGCCACACAAAAAATATTAAGGAAGAGGAACCATAGACCTTACGGGACTCAGCTGTGATTGCGTACAAATAATAAACATACCAATGATGCATGTTGCTCTGGCAAAAATTGATGACGGAACTCGGGACAGGGAAAGTATGTGCAGCGTCTAATGGGGCTAAGTTCTTACTGTCCAGTCAGCAGATAATGCATAAAACTGAAAATTCAAGAGCGCAATAGAAGCATGTTACCTAGAAATGTGGAGGTGAATGCAGAGAAAAAAGCTGAAAGTTCAGTGGTTTTCTTTGGGGGTGGAGGACGGGAATGCGGTGAGCCTTATTACTACCATGACTACACGCATGCGTAACAATTTTTTTTAAAGTTTAAAAAATGACAGAAGGGACCAACTGTCTCAGGCTGTCAGGACTTCAAGAACTCAGGACCCTGGTGATGCAGAGTGGAATACGGGTTTTCTGGCCAGAGGTGTTTTGGAAGATGCAGGTGGCTGGTGCATCACAACACGCGATGCAGGACTTCTTTTTACCATAATCACGACACCCTGGGACAAGTTACCCCACTTCATTGAGCACCTCCTGTGTCCCGGGCACTTGAGGAAAACTCTAGGGGTTAATTCTAGCCAGGCCAGCCGGGAGCTTCCAGTGTGGACCTCTCATGTGCTGTCCTAGTGACCCGTAACCCAAAACACCCAGCAGATTGATTTCCCTTGACCTACATCCTGTTCCCCGGGTTTACATATAAAGGTGTTTCTGATCAATGACTGGATAGCAAGCCAGGAGCAAGGGGGTCGGGACGTGGGGGGGCTTCAGCAAACAGCTGACAAAACTGATAGCTCGCTCTCAGGACGTGCGGGAGAGGGCCAGGCTGGGAAGGGGCACTGAGCCCCTGGGCTCACATGCGGCCACTGGGCCTTGGGGGCTGGTCTCTTGGGTTTGAGCAATGAAGCTGTCGGCAAGTGAGAGGCTCCCCAGAAACCTGGGGACTCCTGTTTCATGCATGTGGGTAATGGGTTCATGCGTGACACCTTGTTGGGTCCACAGACTTGGGAGGCCAGGCTGGGCCACTGGTTCCTAGAGCTCCACTCCCACCCCACCTTCGTCAGGCAGCCCTGTACTCTTCTCCTCTTGGGGCTGAGAAGAGCCTGAGCTCTGGCGGGGAGGAGTGTGGATTTGATGGGGGGCCAGGGCTGTGGAAGGCTTTGGGCAGGGAGGCCACGGGGTCAGCTGTGAGAATCAGCTGACCCCCGGGTTAGGGGGAACTGTGGTCCCAGGCCCACTAGACCGCAGGAGGAGGTCCGGGGCAGGGGGTCCCAGACTAGGAGGGCAGGGATCTACTCTATGTGACACAATGCCCAAAAGGGAAGGGGAAGTCACCGGGACACAGGTCTCAAAGGCAGAAGCTCCTGGTGCACACCTTGTATGTCCGGGGCCCTTCCAGCCCACAGGCCTGGCCGTGGGGGCCCTCATTCAGCACCTGGAACGTGCTTGGCACTGATCCACGCGCTGGGGATAGCGTGGTGACCAAAAATACTGTCTGCCGTGGCGGGGCAGAGGACAAAAGGGAATAAGTATGTGATACAAAATGGGTGGAGGAGGTGGCTTCGAAGGGCAGGGCCTGGGGGCTCTTCTCTGAGATGGGGACCATCCGGGGCTGGAGCCGTGGGTGTTAAAGGACGGCCTGCAAGGGAGGAGGCGGGAGGCCAGGGAGGCCGCTTGATAGAACAGGCGGTAGATGGTGGTGGCGCAGGGCTCAGGGAGCCGGGCTGGGGCCGAGGAGTCAGTCTGGACTCAGGCTGAAGGTAGTGACAGCAGGAGTTGCTGACAGAGGGGCCCGGGGTGAGCAAGAGGAGCTGTAGGTGACCTGCTAGCTTCGTCCTGATGGGAGGATGGAGGTGCCATCCATGCTGGACCCCGGTGGGAACACGTGGGGGCGGGGGGTAGATCACAACAGACTAAGCTGAGGCGTGGGCTACACATCCGGCGGGGAAGGTGGAGGAGACACGCGACCCAGGGCTGGAGATGAGCCTTTTAAGTCGTCAGCACCCAGCCACGCACACAAGCCCCAGCCTGGCCGCGGTCACTGGCCACTGAAGGAGGAGGGGGTCCGGATGGAGGAGGCCGACCGGGCCGTGCCAGCCAGGGGCATCCCGGTGTTACGAGGCCCGGGAGACGAGAAGGAGCTGCCAGCAGGAGGAGGAGACCAAGAGAGCGTGGAGTCCTGACGAGTGTCCAGGAGTCGTCGCTGTTGCCCGCGGAGGGGCTACTCGGGGACCCCGCGGCCAGAGTCTGGCCACGGGCGGGAGGCCGCGGAAAGCCGGGCTCGAGTTTCGCCGCACGAAATGCAGAGAAGGGGGCGCAAGTGGAAGGGCTGCGGGGGCAGGAGAGAAATACTGGTTTTATGCCGACGGAGTGCCCCATCGCAGAGGAGGGCTGCGCGGTGGCGGAGGGAGGGGGCGATTCAGCGCAGCGCCCGGGGAAGACGCGGGTCGCACAGGCAGGCAGCCGGGACTTGGCTCCTCGGGGCGCCGGGAGGTGGGCTGGGGAGTAGGAAAGGTTCGACGGCTACCTGAGGGGGACTTCCAGGGAAAGGCAGTTTTTAGCTTGAGGCCCCTCACTCACCAAGACCCCCTCTGCGCCCCTGCGGTGGGCCTTGGCAGTGGGTTCGCCTCTGCCGCGGTTTTATAAAATTTGCAAGAGTGAGATCCTTGAACGGCAGTGGGTTAGACCTGGTCCCTGTTCCATTCGAACTTCGCCTCCCTCACACTTCCTCTTCTGTTGGGTGGTGCTGAGGTGACATGGGCATTTGGGGGGTTTGGCCAAGATGCAGTCGAGTTGGGGACACAGTTTGGAGGGAATGGGGTATATTTGTGTGGTGCGCGGTCACGTCGGTGTTGAGTGGGTTATTGGTGGTCGTCTCGGTGGTAGGGACGCCTTCCAGGAAGACTCCTTGCTGCCCGCCGCGCTGATCACCCTGTGTTGTGACTTGAATGATGGGAGCCATGGAGGGGAGACAAGACTTGAAATGTGCGGAGCCAGAAGCCAGTCTGCGGAATGTTCTTCCAGTCGTTGGATGTATAAACTTAAAAGAGGAAGACTTGCTTCTCACTCCTGCCTGCTCAAGATGGAAGTTTGCTCCTGTTCGAGGAGTAGGCTGGGCCAGGCAGCCACGTCCAACTGTAAATGCACCATTCCTTGTGCAGGGCAAAGTGGGTTAAAGATTAACCTGGGAATTCTTGACTTGGCCTGGAATCCTACAGCTCACACGGCTGGTCAGGAAACCTGATCATGGTTTCCCCACATTTGACAACAGTTCTCAAAACTTATGTCTGTGCCAGTGTGAGTGGTGAAGATGAAAGAAACTTTTCTAAAGTATCAGTAAGTCAGAGTTCGATCAACCATGCCAGAGGAGAGGTTGAGGAGTCTTTCTGTTCTTACATGGGGTCAGGAAATGGTTTTCCCGCGAAGGGCGATCGGAGTGCACAACCCGACAGCGCAGGGCCAGGCCTCGCAGACGCGTGTCATGGTCACTCGACGGCTGTGGTGGTTTTCTAGACTTTCTGATGTCTGGGTATGTGTCCCACTTTGAGAAATGGGTGATTTGCTGATTTCCAATTCTTCATATTCATCTATGAACCGAGTTTTGTAGTCTTTTTCAAAGGGGGGCCCCTAAAAGGCTGGGCGAGAGTTGAAGCTGGGCATGAAATGGTTAGTCCCCAGCATGACCCGGGGGCCCACGGGCCCTTCCCTGTGTCGCGGGCTGAGATGAGGAGCTTGAGTCTGCACGTGAGTCGGCCACGTAGCTGAGCGCACTTGGGTCAGTGTGTGGAAACCGTGGGGACCTCTGTTCATCGCCGGGGGGAATGTGCAGTGATGTGGCCGGTGTAGAAAGCAGTGTGGTGGCTCCCCAAAAAGTTACTCGGAATCACCATATGGCAGCAGTTCCACTCGTTGGACTCGAGCCCAAAGACTCGAGAGCAGCCACTC